GCATTTGTGACATTCCATGAGTCAAATGTTATTTTCTAAATAAAAATAAATTCTAAAAAGTGGATGTTTTGCTTTTTAATTCATTGATTTTTCATTTCATTGATGCATTGAGACAAATAATTAAGCGTCTTATGTATTTTGTAACATATTGAATACATTATCGCGATTAGCCTGTATTTTGAATGCAATGCTTCAATTGGCTGAGCAAGCTTCTAAGATGCAGTGATGTGTCAGCTAATGGGAACAATTTTTACAACGGTCCCTATTGGAAAAGGAATCCCTGAATTTTTTTCGTAAAATATGAATCTAAAAACTCGAGAATTCAGTTATCAATGATAATTTACGGCGAAATCAATCTATTAAACAGGGTTGAGAATCATAGTGAAAATAGTGGTAAATGCTAGTAAAAATAGCTGAATAATAGTGAAAATAAGTGCCGCCTATTCCCATTATCTGACACATCATTGGCATCGAGCTATATCAAGGTCTCGGAATTAAATGTTTACCCGATAAACATTGGAACAAATATCCAAATACAATGACTGTAAATATTTACAGTTGAATCACATTAAAAATAATCAATGAATTGTGAAAATAACCGCCGTCAAAATAGCTATTGCAGGTTGTGTAACCAGAATTTAGAAATTGAATCATTTTTTATTTTCTTTACATTCAGAGTTACTATATTTGCAATAAACGGACAAATGTATTTATGCTAATCGTATTCTAATATGATTTTGAGAGATGACAGAAACTAGTTGAGAAGGCTGGTCAGATAACACGAAGAACTTCAATCGACTGAGCAGCACTGGAATAGGATTGAGAAAATGCGGATAAGAATATTGCTTCCTGAACAACTCGACTGCGAAAAAATTGGACTTTGATTGGTTTATGATTTTGTATGTGAAGCATTGTTTGAATGCTTTTTTCCGAGACTAAGCATCAGCAGATCACAAGCAGATCTATTTAACTAAATTTTTGCATTTGGATTCATCGGTGAATCTTGTTTTTGAACAATATCGATAGACTTAATATAATTTCCGATTAAGATAACTTGCGATTTATTTCAACCGATTGAATGAGATCACTTAATTGAAGAATGATTTGATTTTTATTCGCAAGAAATTATCAAAATAAATCGAAATTCAGTTTATTTCCTTTCAATTCCTGCAGAAAATTATTCCCATGGTTAAGGAACAATTTAATAATTTTTTGCCTTCAAATTAACAGCTAAGGTTGAGTGACCAATCAATTGAACTTAAAATGCTCTTTTGCTCTCCAATAAGAGATTAATAGAGTCAACAGTTGAAAAGAAAAGTTTAATTGAAAAAAAGAAACATCTTTACAAGTAAATTGATGTCGGGAAATAAAAAAACAATGAAATTCCAATAATAATAAAAAAAGTAATCAGATTTTCTGAGTGAATACTTGAACCCATTATAACTATCAACATAAACACCTTGTTATCTTGTTCATCAAACTAGCATTACCCTGACTACAGCCATCATCATCAAGATCGTCGTCATTTTCATGATGATGATCATCATAATAATCATAATAATCATGATGATCCAAATGAAATGTAACACTTGAAAACCACAAAATGACCAAATAAAAATGTAGCCATCAAATTGAATTTGCACAAAACATAAACTACAGGAAAAAAAAGAATGCCAAAAAGTGAGTGAAATGTAAATTTTGCAACAAAATAGCAACTTTAACATTTAATTTACCTTTTTCCCAAGAAACCCTTCTTTCAAAGTTAATCAATTGTAAAGGTAATTGTTGAAAAGTTATTAAAGCTCAACTCTTTCATTTGATTGAAAAATAAAAAACAAGCCAACAGTCGATGAGCATTTTGTACAAGAAAAGGCAAAAAGCCAAGTAATGATAATGGGAAAAATAAGGAAAAGGCAACAGAAAGAATGAGCTAAATGGATTTACAATGTAATAATTGTTTTTAAATGATGCTTAATGAACTGTTTAAGGGCTATCCATTAATAACTATTGAACAGTGTCAAAAAGATAAGCCAATAGTAGAAGGTTATTTGAGGTTTGAAAATGATGTGATGATAATAATGATAATGATGATAATAGTGAAAATAATAATAACAATAATAAACAAGATAAACATGAGATATAACAATAACAATAGCAACCTAATGATAACATTATCATCAGTTTATTTTGTTGCCTTTTTGCGACTAATCTTTTGTTTCTATTAGGTTAACCTTTCGTTTAAGTGTTCAAAATTGTCTGTCTTTAACACTTTTCATTTCATTCAAAACTCTTTTATTTGAAACATTTTCATTGAAGGTAAGTAAAGTTTAAAAGGTTGACATGCAAGTATACAGAATGTCGAGTGAACAAAACTGTTCATTTCTACATGAATATTTATTCTGTTTTGACTTTTTTGTTTCATGTTAATGTGCCAGTTTTGGGTTTGCAAAAGTGATCCTATAAAATGAAACATAATTCATTAATGTTTCAACCAAAAGGCAACCTTTTTTTTTTAATTTGCTCCTGGTTTCGAGGCTTGCACCTTGTTTTCATTTTAAACAATCTTGTTGGATTACTCATTAATTGTTGATCATGATGATTTAAAATGTCTTCATTTATTCAGATCACACTGTGAACACTGAAATATTCACCATTTTATTGGATAAATGTTTCTCTTTTGCTATTTTACTCTTTTTTTTGCTACTTCACTTTGCGCTTTGTTAACTCTTTCAATCCATTTTTTCTTCTTCTTCTTCTGTTTTCTTTCTGCCTTTTCAAGCTACACTCACAATAATTTACAATTCATGTAACTTTCAAGTTGAGTTATATAAGCTAAATAAATATAAGCTAATGTGAAACATTGCAGTGAGGGATGAGCAGAGAGGCAAAGTAGTTGGTAAAGATGGAAGAGAGAAGAAGGGAAATGGAAAGAAAAGAAAGAAAAGAAAGAGAAGAAAAAGATTTGGTAAAATAATGTGCAAGAGCAAAGGGACTTTTCAATGGGATTCAACCCATATTGGGTAACAAGCTGAAACCAATACAAAGCTTTCTTTACTTGGTTAACCCAAAAAAGAGAGAAAACAGAAAACCAATCAATTTTTGGGTTCTTTTAGGTAACAAACATTTCCATTTTTTGCTCATTCTGGTTACTCGACTATCGACTATCTTGACTGTCTAATTGAATCGTTCATCGATATGGGTTAACCAAGACTGTCATTTTATTCAATATTTTCATTCATTTTTCTTTTTCCTTTTTTTATTGACAAAACACTGTTGGCTCATTATGGCTCAATTCTGGTCAACTAATTGGTTTCAATTATTGTTGCATTAACCAGTCACCCATTGGAGTGTTTAGACCAATATTCTGGTGGAAACAGCATCATGAAAGGGTAAAATTTTGACTTGTAGTTAATTAGAAAAATTGAACTTTTTTTTCTCATCTTCTTTTCTAGCAGATGACTTGAAATGTACTGGAAACTTTGGTTCATTACGTGATTGCTTTTCCTCTTTTATCTCTGGTTGGACAAGCTCAAGCATTCATTTATTCATCAATTGAACCTTTCCTTTTGGATTAACCATGAAATATTTATCAATCAAAAATTTAATAAAAGTTTTTCAAAAGCTGATCATATTATCAAGATGAAAGTACATTAGCGATGATTGTTTATTATCAAGGGTTAAATCGCAAAGGAAAAATAAGTTTCATTGGTTTAATGGCTAATACAAAAGGCTATATAAGAAGTCATTGAATCATTGATCACTCAAACAGAAAAACAAACAAAACGGTCATCAAGATTAATAAATTGAATTGACCAGTTTGATAACCTTAACCAATATCTTTCGATATCAGCTTTACCAAACAAATAACTATTTTTTCAATTGCTGGCTAAACTATTAATCTTGCTTATCCTTTAACCTTTCCTCTGTAATAACAAAAGAGTTAAAAAAACAAAAACAACTCAAAGATGATTAGATTGGATAGACGAGTTGAAGAAACAATTCTGGTTGTAAAGCCTTTTACAGCCGTTCAACCAGGTATTTGAAGGGTATTTTACATGAAACGAATCTAAAATTATCCTTTGAACTGAGAGGCTGGAAAAACTTCAATGAGACCAAAAAAGAAACGAAAAAATTCATTAAAAAAGGGTCCAAAAAAGCGAGCAACACTTGAAGCTCTAAAAATAGACTTGGACAACAAAAGACTCTGTCCCTGACTAGCAGATTGACCAGTAGGAATAGAGAAAGGGTTGAAACGGTTCATCTTTAGGGTGACTCTTTGCTTACCTTTGCAAAGGCAAATAGTGAAAAGGTAAAGTAAAGAGTATGAAATTGGTCAAACTTAAAAATAGATTGGGAGTCGTAAAGTTGGACGCTTTGCAAACATGAAAAGTTGACTTCGGTAACTGGCCAATTAGTACTGGTATCGGTTTAACCCTTTTAGTGTCACTTTACCTAGAAAGGCTAGTCGAAAGGCAAGTTGAAAGAGAAGAGTTTTTTTTAGAAAAACTATTTTTTCTTCGTTTCAAAATTGATCCTAAAAAACAGGTTGAAGTGAAAAAAGGTGATGGAACGAATGAGTTAGTCTTGTTGGAATCATTCAGTGAAATTGTCTTCAGTGAATTGTATTGCGCTTGAAAATGTTTACATGTCAAAAAGTTATGATGGATTATTGAAGGATTCATCTTTTTTGAGCGTTCAATTTATATAATTAACTTTGCCTGTAAACAAGTGAGTTGAATAGTGTTAATTTTAAAGTAAAGAGTATGAAATTGGTCAAACTTAAAAATAGATTGGGAGTCGTAAAGTTGGACGCTTTGCAAACATGAAAAGTTGACTTCGGTAACTGGCCAATTAGTACTGGTATCGGTTTAACCCTTTTAGTGTCACTTTACCTAGAAAGGTTGGTTGAAAGGCAACTTAAAGAAGATTTTTTCCGGAGTCTTTTTTCTTTCTGTTACAACAAGTTTCAATTATGAAAATGATTGATTGTGAGTATTGAGTGAATGTAAATAATGTTGATGTTGACATATTTTTTTATTAATTTACGTTTATGTTCATGATTTTCATATTAATACAATATTAATGTTGTGCTTATAAGTATATGAGTGAAGTGTATATGTTTGTATGTGGTTTGTGAGTGTTACAATGTATGCATTTGTATGTATTTTATGTCATTGTTTTTGTTAAGTTAGTTTTTTATGTGTTTTTTGTTTTTATATTTATGTCTTTCTGTTTTGTTTTGTTGGTTTGTTTGTTGTTGATGCTTTTTATTATTACCATATGAATGTCCATTGAATGATGAGTTTACAATTATTAATCCAATATTTATAATTTATTAGTGTTCCAGTTTACTTACTAGTGGTCCACCAATAGGGCCACTTGTATTATTGTTGCTATTATTACTACCTCCTGAACCTGGATTACCGGTTGAGTGTGAACTTGAATTGTTTCCATTGGCTCCTGATGAACCATTTCCATCATTACCTACCATCAATGTTACACCTGAATTCATGTCTTTCTTGTTATTCTCCTTTTTCCACTTCATTCGTCTATTTTGAAACCAAATTTTAATTTGACGTTCAGTTAAACATAAAATGTTGGCTATTTCAATGCGCCGTCGACGAGTCAAATAACGATTATAATGAAACTCTTTTTCCAGTTCCAGGGTTTGATATCGAGTGTATGTTTGACGACCTCTTTTACGTTCTGTTTTTATATATCAAGAGAGAAAGAAGAAAAAGAAAGAAAAATAAAAATGTAATCAAGGTAAGTAATGGTCATTTTTATCATTAGTTTTCATCAATAACATTCAATTCTGATTTATATGAATTAAAGTCAGTAACTTTAGATGAATTAAGTAAAGAGTAAAAGAAAGAAATGGAAAAGTTGCAGAAAATAAGAAAATAAGAAAAATGCCAAAAAATAGGAAAAAGTAAGAAAATTAAGAATAAAAGTTGGTGAAGAAAAAAAAAGTAAAGGAAACTCGAAATTCCCAAATGTTTCAAGCTGTTTTTTTTGCGAAACGAATTTTTGATAAGTTCAGTTAAGGATGAGGATGAGATTTGGTTGGGAATAAATTGGGAATGAAGAAAACGAACAAAAGGAAAGAAAAATGAGAAAGAGTGTTGGAGAAGATGAAGACGAAGATGAGGATAAAAATGAAGGAAAAGAAGGAGAAGATGAAGATGGGGATGAGAATGATGGTGATGAAGAAGTAAAGGAAAGGAAAGGAAAGTTGAATAAGATGAGAATAATGATGAAAATGGATGAACAGGAAGGATGCAGTATAAGAACCTATATTATCATTTATAGATCTAGATTCAGTTTTGTTGTTGATAAAAACTGAGAAAGGAGAGAGGAATAAGAGATTAGGTGAGACAAGAAAATGGCTGTCAAGAAGAAGAAGAAGAAAGAAGAAAGAAGATGAAGAAAGAAAATGGATGAAGGAAGAAGATGAAAATGGATGATGAAGGGCACAGAAAAAAAGAAGAAGAAAAAGGATGAAAAAAGAGATGAGAAGAAAAAGGTAAAAAGAGTAAGGAAAGAAGAGAAAAGTTAAATTGACTGAGTAAAGAAAGAATCTTATAGAAGAATCCTCATTATAGAGGAAGATGAAATTGAAAACAGAAATGTTGTTTCAGATTATATATGAAAGATAGGAGTGAAATCTGATGAACTATTGATTTGTTTTCTCTGGCTTTTTCGTTTTTACTTTTCATGAGAATGAATCTTGAATCTATAAGAGGCAAAAATGAAATATAATATGAAATATGAACATTGAAGTGAAGAGAGTGAGTGAGAGAGAAAAGCAAATTTAGCTGATATTTTTCATCTCTTGAAACTTTAATCTGATGAATTATAACTATTTTATCAAGTTATAAAGTTGGAAGCTTCCTTAAACAATGATTGGGAATGAATAATGAAAAATTTACCACGGAAATGATGGCTTTCTCTTCATCTTTTTCATTTACCACTTGCAAAGCAATGAATAATCTGAAATGGGTCAGAAAATTCAAACAAAAGGAAAAGGGAAAAAAGAGGAAAATTCATTACCATGGTGAAATAGAAGGGAAAAAATGGTTGAAATTTTCCATTTTTTCTTTACTCGATTGTATTTAACGGTAAAAATTATCAAAATAATGAAAGAAAAATATTATTCCAAAAGCTTTTCCATTTTGTATATGAAATGATTAAATTGCATTCCATTCCAAAATGTTGACTTTCAATTTGTTCAGTAAACTTGGTGTTGAGCCTTTAATGGTTTACGATTGAAGTTTTTAATTTTACTTTATTGTGTTTCCTATTTTTCATTTTGCATGCCTTCAACTCTAATGAACACACACGGTGTTGAAGCTTAGCATTCAACCTTTAAGTAAACTTGTTTATCGTGAGTCAATGAGGATGAGGAGCAAAAAAATTCTGGCAACATTATCAAGTCAAGACATTAGTTAATTTGATTACTAAATGAGAGGCGAAAAAATTCAATCAGATTGTTCATTGCATGAAGGAATGTTGCCAATGTTGGCTTGGTTCCATCAGGTATGTTGAGCTATTATACAAACAACAAAGTGGAGTAAATTTATTCATTGCTTGCTTCTTTGCCTTTCACTTTTCATGTCATCCAACGAACACCATTAGTACCTATAAAAGGTCCGGTTAACCGTAACTGATTTTCATCCTTTTATTTTGAAAAACAAAACTTTATCCTTTGCATAACCAATCAACTGCTATTAAATTTTGGTTTATTTAAATTATCCAATTTTAAATCATTTACGATTGATTGACTTTTCACATTTTGCAACAAAAAGTCACAGGAGCTTGGGTCAAGTTAATGTTTATTATTCAATGGGGATTTCAAGAGTCGAAGGATGTTGTTGCTTTTGCTGTGCCAAAACTCATTACTGTTTGGTTGAACAAGACAGAGGCAACATTTCTCATGAAAATCAAGATAAAAAGTCTAAAGTTTATTTCAATTTGAAAATGTTTAGGTTAGGTTAAGTTAGATTAGGTAAGATTAGATAAACAATGGTTTTTCCTTGTAAACAGTTGAAGCTGTCAAAAGTCAACTAGACTCAACAGCTGAACTTAGTACAATTAGACAAGTTTAATTGGCACTCTTTCCAGTTGAACGTGAACACACATTTTTGTCAAGTAACATTGCCATTTCCGTGTGCGCAATGAACGCCTAATGTCTGCCCATCTTTCATCTGTCTTTTAATTTCAAAGCTAACTTTTATTGGTTGTCAAACATGTTTTCTGCCCTAAGAAAATAGAACAATTTTGTAAAGGAATTTTACGATTTTTTGTCGTTTTTTCTTCTTCTTATTCTCATGAAATATTCTGCTGTTGCAAATATTTTTCCAAATTTTCTCTATAATCAGGGTAACAGTAAAAGCAATCAAGTTGATCGAATGCTCTGTTAGTTATTATTATTTGGATTCACGCTTTTTACATTCAGTAAACAGACACTTTGCGCAAAGAGCATGATGATGAGCTAAAGTGATTTATAAGTAGTGATAGTAGGATTCAAGTGATAGGATGAAAGAAGAGAAAAGATAATCATTATTATTTTTCATCATCATCACCATAATCATTATCTTCATCATTTTCATCTTTCTTTTTCTCTATTTCATCCCGTTCCTCTTCAGTATAATCTCAAAGTGGACTCTTGAAAAGCATTGACAAGAGTTTTTCCTCTTCCACTGAGTTTCCTATGAAGAGAAAAACAAGAAACTCGCCTGGATTCTCTCTCTCTCTCTGCTGGGTAATACAAAGAATTATGAGAATGAATCTTCTCTCTGAAAATGATGATTCTGATCATGATTATCATGATGATCATCTTGATCATCATCATTCTCTCATGATGAACAAAGAAGAGAAAAGCCGATGATATTATCATTTATCAAACACACAAGATACAGCAACTCTATTGAAAGCTAAAGCTCATGGAAAGAGAATCACATATACAGAAGAAGAAAAAAAAATGAGAGAAAAGATAATCTATGAAAAATAATAATTTATCATTATTATATATTAAAATGCCAAAGGAACAATTCCAATGCTCTTGAGCAGTTAATCTTCATTCGCCTTTAACCATTTGGACTACATAAAAGAGATAAATTTATCTTTATAATACAAAATAATATAATGCCGAGAACTGCAGAAAAAGCTTCAGAATCTTTCAAAAAATAATAATGATAACAGAAGATTCATTTTTATCTGTTGTTATATATATTTTTGGTGTTTTGTTTTCTGGTTTTTCCTTTCATAACTTTTATATCCTTTTTATTTATACACAAAATGTTATGAGTTGGTAATAATGTTTGAAGCAAACAAAAGTGAAAGATATATTTCAACTAATTATAAATTGGACAGTTAAATTGTTACTTTAAGTTATTAGGGTTAATCAAGCCTTTTCTGGTTTACGCTTCTTCTTTTTTCTCTACACCATTCTGGCGTTTGTTTTGTTTTGTCTCGCTTTTTCTCACTTTTTTCCTTCTCCTTCATCATCATTATCATTATTCAGGATATTTATTTTCAAGTAGGATAAAGTTTCATGAGCAATAAACATTAAGCACATTAGAGAGTGAACAAGAGAAAGTTTTTTTTTTAAAAAGCAAGAGAAATGGAAAAACACAGAATTCATGGGAAAACAAAGAGTTGAGAATAAATTGATGAAATGTTGAATCATTCATTAAGAAATGATGCAATTGTGGTTTAATCATTTTCACTGTCATTTGTCTTTCCTCTTTCCACTCAACTGGTAAACTCGTCCATTTATCTATAAAAGGCAATGCTCTAGGTCAACCCAATGCTCAAGCTTGATCAGAAAAGGGTCGGAGGTAGTAAATTAGAGATGTTATGTTAGATTCCAATACTTTAATGATAACTTTATTAATGATAACCAACTATTATTATTTAAATAAGGTGCAGATGCGTTTTATTATGGCAGCCTAAATCTACACTAGGTAAGACAATCGATCGCCAACATCGGAGGGTGCGGAAAATAGTGGACATTCTCGTTAGATTAGAACAATTTTTGTCGCTGTAATTACAATCAACTAAATGATTCACGTACTGAATGGAGATATTTTTAATGCGAGAATTTGTCTTATGAGAGCTAATTTAAGGTATTTGCAATATGATTTCTATGAAAAACTAAGTCTTTATAGTCGACTTGTTTTACTCTTTTTGAATACATATTCCGTTCATATGAAAGCCTTTATTCACACATGAATGCTCTCAATTCATTTGCTCGAAAAATTGATGAATCTTTCAATTTCAAAAACAAAGCTAGCAAACTTTTGCGATTAAACTTCAGCTTCCATATATTTTACTCATGAACCGTAGAGGTCAAATCTTCGCTACGCTCCTATAATTAAACTTTCCTTTGGATTCATCAAGATATTTAATGGATTAACAGGCAATCTTTTGCCGTTATATCTGGTGAACACATTAAGTTTCTTGGATCACGATTTTATGGATACACCTTTCCGTCTAACCTGGATTGGCCGCAACCCAAACTGACTGGAAAGCTTTACAATTGTCAAGTCTACTCACTCATCAGTTCTCACAAAATTCAATTGAAAGTAACGACTATTCCGGATTTTAGTGGGAGTATCTTGTAGGGCATTTATTTTGATTCAAGACCAGGATAATCAAATCAGGATAATTGATTCAGGCACATGAATGCCTAACAATACTTT